GGCTCCGGGAGGCGGCCGTGGCCCCTGGGCTCTGCCGGGGCTCCGGCATCTTCCACAGCCTCACGTCCCTGCGGATCGTTGGCAAGGGCGTAAGTGCAGCTGGTGGTGCCCGTAACGCCATCCATCTCCAGATGGAAACCATCTTCCTGTTGGGAGGGGAGATATCCTGGGAAGAGGACACCTTCCCCGTCCCCGTGCCACCATTGCAGCTGGGGCAGGGCTACTGGTCCCCCAGCTGGTGTGTTGCTCTAATCCATGTTGTGTGCATGCCATGGGGACCAACACTACATGCCCATGTCGTCTTGGCCATGAGGTGGCTTGGGGACACATTGGCCAAACCTGTCTCTTTGCAGGTGGAGGAGGTCGACGATGGTCTGTTGAAGTTAGAGCAGCTGGAGGAGCTCATCCTCAGCACCAACCGGATCAGCAGGATAACCTCAGCCAACCTGCCCCGGACACTGAGGGTGGGTGAGTGGTGCCTTGTGATGGCAGGATGGGGAAGGAGGTTCCATCTGGAAACACAGACCAAGCCAAAAACCCTCAGGTGCTGCCAGGAACAGCTCATTGCAGAGGGTGTCTGTTGTTGTCTCTGTCCTGGGCAGGTCCTGGAGCTCTGCTGCAATGCTGTAGCTGATCTGCAGGACCTGTGTGCTCAGCCTCCTCCAGAACTGCAGCACCTGGGGCTGGGATACAACAGGCTGTGCAGCCCTTTGCAGGACAAGTACCTCACTGCAGACTTCTGGTAAGAGTACAGGCTGAACGTGGGCTCCTGAAAGGCAGGTGGGCAGATGTGAACAGATGACCTTAAGCCATCAAGGTGGCCCATGTTAAGAAATTACAGCCCTTCAGCAGAGTTGTCTCTTTGCTCTGTGTCCAACACCCATACAGAGCACTATGTCTCTGTTCACTGTCTTCTGCCTCCTTGTCAGAGGGTCTCTTGGTCTACAGCCAAGGTGTGCAACAGGGAAATCACCTGGGGAACTGCCTTGAGAACTGTCCACCACAGTTCCACTGTCCCTGGGCAGCTTCTTTCTTCCATGCCCTTCCCAAAGCTCCTGCTGGGAGTCTGCCCTGGGGAGGCTGTAAAGCTTTGGCTGCATCAGCATCACCAAATGATGCAGTAGGATGGTGAATGGATGCTAGAGGAACACGGGTTTGAGTTGTGGGGCAGACTGGCAATGGAACATATGGCTCAGGAATTTGGAATTGTCTTGAGACTGTCTCGTTGGATTCCCCAGTTTGACCTAGTTTGTGCTAGAGAAACACATTTTTTGCTTCTTTTTCATCCCAGGGCAGCAGCTCTCTATCCCCAGGTGGATGCTATTTGCCTAACCTCCTTCTCTGGGTTCTTTCCTTAGGCCAAATCTTGTCTCCCTTGATCTGAGCTTTAACAGCTTCACGGATCTGCTGGAGCTGGTCTGCCAGCTGTCCAGTCTGCAGAAGCTCCGGATCCTGCTGCTCCAAGGGAACCCTCTGGCTCTCATTCCCACTTACAGAGGCTTCCTCGTGGACAGCCTGCCCAAGCTCTCCATCCTTGATGACATCCACATAGGGCCTGGTGAGAGGCACCAGTTCCATGGTGTGGCAAGGCAGCCAGGTGAGCCTTTGTCTTTGAACCTCTCTGTGCTGCCCCTGTGATGTGGGAGGTGGTTTCATCATGAGTGAGCTAGGAGTCCTCGGGGCAAACTCTGGCTCAAATACTGACTTCCTTCTTTCCCCTCCTCAAATGGAGATCTTCCTCTGTGCCTTCGTACCCTTCTTGTCCAAGTGGGGAGACAGGCAGAGGACCCTGCAGCAGGGTAATTACAGTCGAGGTAGTTTTAGCCTTAGTCAGGTCCAAAGATTGCAAGGACAGCCTAGTCCTAGCACTGCCTCGGTCTCGTGGTCTGACCCCATCTTTGCTTCCTCAACACCATCTGGTTTCAGACAGCACATTTCCCTCTTGAGCTGCTGAAAGAGGAACATCTCCACGGGGGAAGGTGCTCATGTGGGTGCTGTGCTGCCAGCACAAACGGTGCCATGTCTGCAGCGAGGCACATCCCTGCCTGGGACGAGAGCAGGCGGCTGGGGACGCCCGGGGGTGGAAAGCCCTTCCTCATGGTCCCTGCTCACTGAGTCTGTGCGCTGGACGTGCTCTTCGGAGTCTAAAATGTGAAGCAGGGAGGCAAAGCAACCAAGCCAGGAGATGTTTGCGTGGCTTTGGAGTGACCCCGTGCGGCGGTGGCTTGTCACAGCCTCAGCCCAGGGCGCTGGGACTCGTCTGCTGCGGGCTTCTGCTTGCTCTGTGCCTTCAGCACGCTCCAGCTTCACCGCAAATTGTCTTCCTTCCTTTTAGAGCTGGCCAGGAGCGAAGCACGAGTGGTTGTGAGTGTTGGGGAAGTCAAGGGAGTCCCTGATCCCAGCGCTCAGCAGCTGGAGGCTGGCTCTGAGGCTCCGGTGGTCACCTACAGCTACTGTGTGACATACGAGTTTGTGGGGGGAGAGGAGATCCCGGATGGCAGCAGCAGCACCGAGGTTTGTGCTTGGCTGAGAGCTGGAAAGCAACAGGCAGCGTCAGGGCACAGCCAGGGGGAACTCCACCTCCAGTCTGTCGCTAAGGGACCCAGGAATGGGGACAGGATTCACATCTGGCCACAGCTGGCAGGACGAGTCCCTGCTGGCAGCATTCCCTGTCCCTCCTCAGACCCCAGCGCTGCCCTGGGCACGGGAGTGCATCCCCAGGCCCCTCCCACTGACTGCAGCAGATCCCTTCCATGGTGCCCCTGCCTGCTCTGGTGGGGGTGGGCTGCAGGGTAGGATCTCAGGAGCAGCTCTGCCTCCTGGTCCTGATTCAGAGGCAATCAGACGTGCCTGCCAAGAGATCCCTCTCTGCTGCAGGTAGCAAAAATCCATCAGAGTCCCACAGTGGCCACTCTGGATGTGAACAGCTCTGTGGAAGACACTGGAGAAGCCAAGAGCCAGCAGGAGCCTGCAGCCATGGATGAGCCCAAGGCCTACCCAGGTAATGGGGAGTCATAAATCCTCTGCCCCACTGCTCAGGGCAGGTTTATGGCTCCTCCTGGCATGGGGTGGCATCAGGATGTCCCTTGCAGTGTCAGCTGCAGCTGACGGATAATGAATTGGCACCAGTTGTTTCCTGGGGATCCTTTGGTCCTCAGGAAGGAGAGGTCTGTCCTCAGAGTTCTTTTGTGTCCCTGCACAGCAAAGGTGTTTGTCACCCCTGGAAAGCCCTGGGAAGACACCATCGACTGTGGCTACAGGAAGGAGCACACTGCCAAGGACTTAGTGGGGCTGAAGTCCTACCTGGCAGCTGGAACAATTGTCTCTGTTGTGGAGGAGAAGGTGAGCGTGTCGCAGAGCTGGATGAAAGGGGAAAGAGCCCAGAAAAAGAAAGGAGGCCCAGCAGTGGTATTGTGTTCCCTTTGGGGGGCAGCCCGGGGTGACAGTGACCTTGGGCCAGGGTCCATGGGCAACCCAGCCCCTGCAGCACCAGCTCCTCTCTCTGGGCAGGTGCTCTCATGGCCTCTTCATACTGACTCACAAGAAAATGCAGGCACGAAGGGGAAGGCAGGACGAGGGCTGCAGAAGGATGGTGCCAAGGTAGGGTGCTGGGAGAGAACAATGTCCAAAGAACATCTGAGCTGCAAAGATAAGGATGGGGGAACAAGGGCCCTTCTCCTGGCTCGGGTTGGTGTGTCAGAGAATCTCCCCTCCCTCCTGGACTGCCTGCCAACACCCCCCCTTGCTATGGGAGGAAGGCAGCAGCTGGTTTACACACGCCTTGGTCTGGATGCAGTGGTGGTGAGGGGTTGGGTCGGGGTTGCTTGCTGTCTGATGAAGGGCCCCCAACCCTCTCCTGAGGCTTGTCCCCACGCTGGTGCCCCGCAGGGTCCTGCGACGAGGGACAAGCACGAAAAGAAGAAGAAGAAGCCATGTGAATTCCGGAGCGACCCTCCCATTTGGAGGACCCTGGGCACCAGGAGGGTGGCCCTGGAGGCCCTGCTGGCCACCCAGGACCTGGTGGCAACTGTGTGTGACTTTGGGATCCTGATCACTGAGCAACCGCTGCAGCCAGCAGGTCTGGAGGAGAAGGTGAGGAGCAGGTCCCGGGGCAGGGCGGGGCTGCAGTAGCCCTGCCAGAGCATCTCCATTGCTTTTGGTATCCTTAGTTAAGGCTGATATTAGCAAGAAGTTCTGCTGCTTGTTGTGGGCCTAGGAAAAGAGCTGAGTTTATTTTTCCATTTGAGAATACGAAAGCAGCCACTTGTGCTTCCTCTGATGCTCTCTCTCTCTCAGCACAGCAACACGCACGAGCTGCATCGACACTTTCTGTATCCTGGATTCTCTTCTCTGAGCAGCCCCCGAGCTGGGCTCCTGCTTCCCTCAGCTCTTCCCTCACCTCTTCCCTCAGCTCTTCCCTCCACCCTTTCAGCCCCAGTGCCCAGGTGGTGATGGCTGCCACAGGGCCGGGCAGGCAGCGAGGTCCAGCACAGCCCAACCATGGAAACATCTCTCCACAGGACAGGGGAAAAGGCAAAGAGAAGAGCAAACATCCAAAGGCAGAGAGAGAAATTCAGGCCAGCCAGAAAACCACGGCGTCTGGCAGAGGTGAGGGAGGCTGGAGCTGGCCTGGCAGGGGCTGACGTGCACAGGAGCAGGCGTGCCCAGCGTGCCACTGCCAGCTCTGCCAGGCAGCTCTTACTCACATCCTGAGCTTGGGGCTCCGAATGCACCCGCTGACGGCGGGACTGGGGGTGAGACACACCCGGGCACTTGGTTGGGTCAGTGTCTGAAGGAGCACTGGGGTGGGCTGCTGGCTGTCCTGGGCATGGCACACGCCCTCCAGCTCGGCGTGCCAGGGGAGAAGGGCCAGGCAGATTTCTGGGTGGGAGCTGTGCTGCCCGCTGTGTCTGCTGCCCAGTGTGGCCAGTGGTGTGGCTGGCACAGGGAGCCATGGCTGGGGTGCATAATAATGTCCTCGTCCATTTCCAACTCGCATCTCGAAGCACTTTGCAGGGGGGATTATTGTTCTTCCTAGTTTAGAGATGAGATGCACAGAGAGCCCCAGCCAGCCCGTGGCAGGGCTGGGAACAGATCCTGGTCTGCTGTCACCCGTGAAGAGCCCATCCTGACCCCTGAGGGGTGCCCCCTGCCCCCCCAGTGCAGAGCCCACCGCCTGCTCAGCCAGCGGCATTGCTTAAGCTGCAGGAGGCAAACCTCACCCTGCCTCTTGTGGGTTATTTTTCCAGCAATCTTGTTTTGATGACAAAAATAGCAGTGGCAGCACATTAGAGGGGTAATGCAAGAGGAGGAGGAAGTGGGGGAGGGAAGGGGTGGTGCTCATGGGTCAAGGAGAACATGGAGTGGGCCAGGTCTTAGCACCGCTCGGAGCTACCAAAGGAGCCTCATATCCCTGTTCTGACATCATATTTAGTCACTAATTTAGGAGAGCAATTAACCCTCTTCCCCAGGAGCTCCAGGCTGCTTTTCAGTGCCCTGTCACCCCTGGTGAGGTCTCTGTCTTTGAGGAAGATCCCAGAGCCCTGCAGTCCTAGGCTGTGTCTGCACTTGAGGGAGCCTGGTGGCCTTCCCAGCTACCTGAAAAGACCAAAAAAACTCCTTGAATTATTGTCCCCCACAAGAAGATGTGTATTTGTGCTAGATGCTGACTGTTGCTGAGGCAGGGAGCTGCTGTCAAGCAGCTGAAGTTCAGCAGTGGTGTTTTTTACTTCCTTTCTGTCAGTGTGTGTGCAGGAGGTCTTCCCTCAGCCCGAGTGAGAGCAAACCCTTTCTGCAGCAGGCTGTGTGCCTGGAGGCGATTGTCGCACGCACAGAAGGTCTCTTCTGATGCAGGAAACCCACAGTGATGAGAGGCTCGTGCTTAATGTGGTGTCCCCTCAGGCCTGTGCGGGTGGAGGCTGGTGCAGGGCCGCTGAGTGTGTGTTTCAAACACACCGTGCCCCACCGCCGGCTGTGCCCCGTGCTGCCGCTCTGCCCTGCTGCTGTGCTCGTGGCTGCCCCTCGGCCGCCACTCACCGCTCACCGGTACACCCCGCTGCAGCCGGGGGGCAGACACGGCCTGTCGGGGAGGCAGGAGGGCTGCTCCAGCCCTGGACCCCAGCCCCGGCTGCTCCGTCAGCCACCGGGTTGCACCCGGGTCGTTTGACACTTGCTCATCACCCCCGTACCACACCCCAGGTCGGGGCTGAGGCCGCGGCCACGCTCCGGGGCAGGGGGCGGCTC